CTGATATACAAGTCCTAGAAAGGCAACCAGGATGGAGATCTAAACCACCAAAAGTTAAGAAAAGAAGAAGCAGGTCTTACAAAACAAAAATTTTTTAGACTAAACAACAGTTTAATGCCAGTTACTTAAGAGACGATTAAATATAATAAGCGGGACTTATAGATGGCTGATATATGAAAATATAGCTGAGGCAAATTATTGACTTGTATTATTTTGAGAAGAATAACAGATCTCTGCAGTTCTGTGCCTTAGGGATGTAGAAGAAGGCCTCTAACTGAGTGGATTGGAACTTTCTATTTTGGACTCTTTGAAAAATGGATTACGTATATGTTGAGCTATAAGGCACGAGAATTATGGTGGGGCATGCAGAAGATCTGGTTGTTACCCTAACATGGTGGTTGGTATTAATAATCTAGATGAAAGACACTACAGAAGATATTATAAGATATTATATGGAATACAAATATAAAGTCACTCAGGTGGTTTTTTATATACGAAAACATTTATAATTGATGGGGGCAGATGGTAATTGAAGATACTGAATATACTGTTGGAAATAGAACTTGATGTTACCCTAACATGGGTGATGGAATTAATAATCTAGCTGAAAGACATTACAGAAGATATCATATGGATTACAAACTTAAAGTCATTTGAAGATTTTGTTTATATATGGAAATATTTTTTAGCGGTGTGGTATGGGCAGAAGAACAAAGATATTAAAATATTATGTATGGTAGACCTGTAGGAAAATGGGTGGAGATAGATTAGGTTACTGATTGTTTAGTTTACTAAAAGGGATGTTAGGTTTAGATATTAATATACGTAAAAGACTTGAATTAAGAGATATATGTATGGGGTGGAGGAAATGGGTAGATTATGAGTTGAATAAATGTTAAATTAGGATTTATTATATAGTTTTATAGCTGAAGGTCGCTTTGAAATGTATAGTATATGGGGGATATAATAACAATGTTAGAAAGAAATGGTTAGTATGTGGGGGTGGTGTAAAAGGATGGGAACGTATTATTTAAGTTGATATCAATGATTTTATTTTGAAGAAGCCATGGGGGGAGGGGAGGGGGAGGGGGGTTAGGGAGGAGGGGGGAGGGAAAAGGGGGAAAAATTGTATTTGAAAAACTTTTTCAATTAAAAAAAATAAGTATATAATTAACCATATAAAGATGTGGAGACAGCATACTTGCATGCTCCATTACGACATACCATTTACATGAGAAAGCCGTTAGGAGTTAAAACAAATAACCAAACTGATTGTTGGAAATTAAAAAGAAGGCTTTATGGTTTAAGACAATCAGGGTTTGAATGGAACCAATGTATAATTAAAGAGCTTAATAATATTGGATTTCAGGAAGGTGTAGCAGATAAATGTCTCTTTAAAAGAGAGAATGACGGTTTAATATCATTTTTGCTATTATTTACTGACGATATAGCAACAATAACTAAAACTGATAAAGAATAAAGAAGCGATGGAGATTATTAGAAAGTTGCAAGATAAATTTAAGGTCAGGAATTTAGGTCATATTAGACACTATTTGGGCCTTGATATTGGTCAAACAGCTAGAGGATATAAACTGTCTCAGTCTAGCAAGATAAGTCAGATGTTGAAACGCTATAGTATGGAGCTATGTAAGCCAGCTAAAACGCCTATGGCACAGGATTTTCAACATGGAGAAATCCAAAGTCCTGGATTTAGTAAGGAGATCTATCAATCCCTAATAGGAAGTCTATCCTATATTAGCAATTGGTCGAGACCTGATATTACATATAGCGTAAACCAATTAGCAAGATATAATGCAGAGCCAACAGATCAGCATTGGCAGGCCGCAAAGCAGATATTGAGATATCTAAAGATGACAATGCATTATGCATTATATTTAGAACCCAACCATGATCTGATACTGAGCGCATATGCTGATGCCAGTTTCGCTACTGATTTGACCACCAGAAAGTCTACATCAGGTATTGCGATAATGTTAGGTAACTGTCTAATTGGATGGAAATCTATTATTATTATTATTATTATTATTATTATTATTATTATTATTATTATTATTATTATTATTATTATTATTATTATTATTATTATTATTATTTTATTTCTATACCGCCCTTCTCCCGAAGGACTCAGGGCGGTGTACAGCCTATTAAAAACACAAAAATATACAGACATCAATTAAAAATAATTAAAATTATTAAATAATTTCGGCCAAATTAAAACCCAAAAATTTAAAACACCCAATTTAAAATCCTTTACATTGATAGCCCGGCCTGGCAGAACAGCAGGGTCTTGAGGGCACAGTGAAATACATGGAGGTCAGAGATCTTGTGCAATTCCGGGGGCAGTTTGTTTGTTTGTTTATTAATTAATTAATTAATTAATTAATTAAATTTATATACCGCCCTTCTCCCGAAGGACTCAGGGTGGTGAACAGCCAAAAGTAAAAACACAGAATATAAAATTTAAGAACAATTTAAAATAAATTAAATAATTTGGCCCAACAATTTAAATACCACATTAAAATTCAGGTTACAATTAACCAATTTAAAAATTAAAAATTTAGAAATTAGGCCAGCCCGGCTTGGTGAAATAAAAACGTCTTTAGGGCCCGGCGAAAAGTTCGTAGGTCAGGGATTGTCCGTATCTCCGGGGGGAGCTCATTCCAGAGGGCGGATGCTCCCACAGAGAAGGTCCTCCCCCTGGGGGCCGTCAGTCGACATGCCTTGGCCGATGGCACCCTGAGGAGCCCCTCTCTGTGGGAGCGGACTGGCAGAAACATATTAGTCTATCCACTATGGAAGCAGAATTCTCCTGTTTGTCACTAGTATGTACTGATCTGATTTATTATAAACAACTAATGATGGACGTCGGCTTAAAGGTAGATTATCCAATCGTAATTTATGAAGATAACCAAGCTGCTATAAAAATGGCGACCAATTTAGCGGTTAAGACAAGGTCTAAATATACTGATATTCGTTATTTAAATGTTCGTCAGAGTATTCAAAGCGATATGGTCCAGCTGGAATATTGTATGTCTGAAAATAATATTGCCGATAATTTCACCAAAGTGCAAGGTGCAATCAAACATAAGATGTGTTGCGAAAGCTATGGCTTGAGAATATGAACAGGTATATATTAGCCTGTCCAAAGGGGAGAATGTTAGGATATGGTGTATGTCTAACAGGTTGTCCAGGCAATATATGTGTTCTATGACTTTAACATGAATATGTATTCTATGACTTTAAGAAGTACTGCTGAGTCATTGTAACGCTGAGTCATTGTGTCCTGATTGGATAAGCTCTGTTGTAATTGTATTTAAGAAGGGAGCTGAAATGTAGTCATTGATGATATGCTACCATCGTGTGTAGATATGCTATCATCGTGGGTGGATATGCTACCAGCGTGATCTCTTACCAGCGTGAATGTGCTGCTATTTATTATCTATTGCTGTTTTGTATGGTAAGAAGACTTTTGTATCACTGGACTGATTTGACTGGCAAAGACTTGGGATTGTTTAAAGACTATGAGATTGTTTTTTACTACAAAGTAAAAACTTTGATAAACCAGTTTGTATGTATTTTATTCATAGCTCTCAGCACCATTTCCCTGTGCTCTATGCTCTGCTGGTTGGTTAACACAACAATATCCTTAAAAACACAGACATACAGTCCAACCCTCTTTCCCCAACATAAGGTTCAAAGATCTTCAAAAGACACAGAGGAGGCGGCTATGATGCCTGGTGGGTCGGACTTAGACCTAAGGACTACAGGGACCCTGTTTTAGGAAGGAGAGGCCTAAGAGATGGTTATGGGAGGCCTTTGGAAGGAAAGCCTGAGCCTGCGCTAGGCCGCTTAAGACCTTCCCGAAACCCTGAGGTAGCCAATGTTCCACTTAACAACTTACACATTCATTTAACGGCTGCTGATTATAATAAGAGGGAGTCAGATTCTGAGGGAAGTCCTACCTTAGCACTTGGCCACCAGCTGCCCTACTGCCCTTTCGCTATCCCCTTGTCCCCTCCTCCTGACTTCTCCCGATAGTCTCCGATCCTATTGGTGAGGATGCTTTATTTTTTTTATTTTTTTTTATTTATATTTATATGCTGCCCTTCTCTGGAGACTCAGGGCGGCTTACAATGCGTTAAGCAATAGCCTTCATACTTTTGTATATTTATACAAAGTCAGCTTATTGCCCCCACAAACTGGGTCCTCATTTAACCTACCTTAGAAAGGATGGAAGGCTGAGTCAACCTTGAGCCTGGTGAGAATTGAACTTACAGTAATTGCAGACAGCTGGTGTTAATCACAATGCTTTTAGTCTGCTGAGCCACCAGGCCCTGGCAAGATGGAATTTCCCTCCCATCTTGCCCACTCAGTCATTGCAGTAATTGAAGGCAGCTGGATGTTAAATGCTGCCTTAGTAGGAGGCATTAGCCTCCTACGCCACTCAGGCTTTAGTTACAAAGCTTGGGCTCCTTGCATGGAGAGGGAGTGGCCCTCCCTCTGACACACACACTTTGCCCTCCTGAATACACCATGAGCAACGTGCCCAAGGACAACGAGCCTAGCAGCAGCCTTGAGGAGGAGGTAAGCACAGCTGGGCACCCACTGGGGGAAGCCGGGCTGGGCTGTGGGGTCCCAGTGCAATGGGAGCTTGAGGGACAGGGTGGGTGCTTACGCTCTCAGGGCTCTGGGCAGCCTGCGCTGCTGCCCAGGGGTCCTTTGCGTGGCCTGAGAGGGATGGAGAGAACAAGGTTTTTGGCACTTACCACTGTCTCGCCTTCCTCTGCTAGAGACAATGGATCCCCCCAGACCTGCCTGGGCCACCACAGGTGCCCCATGACACAAGAGATGTTGAGCTGGCCATGTGACATCACCCCACCATGCCCACCCACAAGATCAACCACAATCCTGATGTGGCCCTCAATCAATCAAATAGTTTAACTCTGCTGGTCTGGACACTCATATGGTTTCTCTCCTACGTGAGTCCTCTGGTGGTTCACCAGGGTAGAACGGTAACTGAAACATTTCCCACAATCTGGACACTTGTATGGTTTCCCTCTTGTGTGTGTCCTCTGGTGTATCACCAAGTAGGAATTCAGACTGAAACTTTTCCCACAATCAGGACATTCAAAGGGTTTCTCTCCTGTGTGAGTCCTCTGGTGTATCACCAGGTGGGAATTCTGACTGAAATTTTCCCCACAATCAGGACATTCAAAGGGTTTCTCTCCTGTGTGAGTCCTCTGGTGTATCAACAGGTGGGAATTCTGACTGAAATTTTTCCCACAATCAGGACATTCAAAGGGTTTCTCTCCTATGTGAGTCCTCTGGTGGCCAATGAGGTGGGAACTCTGACTGAAACTTTTTCCACAATCAGGACATTCAAAGGGTTTCTCTCCTGTGTGAGTCCTCTGGTGTATCAGCAGGCTGGAATTGACACTGAAACCTTTCCCACAATCAGGACATTCAAAGGGTTTCTCTCCTGTGTGAGTCCGCTGGTGGCCAATGAGGTGGGAACTCTGACTGAAACTTTTTCCACAATCAGGACATTCAAAGGGTTTCTCTCCTGTGTGAGTCCTCTGGTGTATCAGCAGGCTGGAATTGACACTGAAACCTTTCCCACAATCAGGACATTCAAAGGGCTTCTCTCCTGTGTGAGTCCTCTGGTGTATCACCAGATGGGAATTCTGACTGAAACTTTTCCCACAATCAGGACATTCAAAGGGTTTCTCTCCTGTGTGAGTCCTCCGGTGTATCACCAGGCTGGAATTCAGACTGAAACTTTTCCCACAATCAGGACATTCAAAGGGTTTCTCTCCTGTGTGAGTCCTCTGGTGCTTCACCAGGCTGGCATTGTGACTAAAACTTTTCCCACACTCTGGACATTCAAAGGGCTTCTCTCCTGTGTGAGTCCTCTGGTGTATCAACAGGTGGGAATTCTGACTGAAACTTTTCCCACAATCAGGACATTCAAAGGGTTTCTCTCCTGTGTGAGTCCTCTGGTGTATCACCAGGTGGGAATTCTGACTGAAACCTTTCCCACAATCAGGACATTCAAAGGGTTTCTCTCCTATGTGAGTCCTCTGGTGTATCAGCAGGCTGGAATTGACACTGAAACCTTTCCCACAATCAGGACATTCAAAGGGTTTCTCTCCTATGTGAGTCCTCTGGTGTATCAGCAGGCTGGAATTGACACTGAAACCTTTCCCACAATCAGGACATTCAAAGGGTTTCTCTCCTGTGTGAGTCCTCCGGTGTATCACCAGGCTGGAATTCAGACTGAAACTTCTCCCACAATCAGGACATTCAAAGGGTTTCTCTCCTGTGTGAGTCCTCTGGTGTTTCACCAGGCTGGAATTGTGACTAAAACTTTTCCCACACTCTGGACATTCAAAGGGCTTCTCTCCTGTGTGAGTCCTCTGGTGTATCACCAGGTTGGAATTGTGACTAAAACTTTTCCCACACTCTGGATATTGAAAGGGCTTCTCTCCTGTGTGAGTCCTCCGGTGTATCACCAGGTGGGAATTCTGACTGAAACGTTTCCCACAATCAGGACATTCGAAGGGTTTCTCTCCTGTGTGAGTCCTCTGGTGGCCAATGACGTGGGAACTCTGACTGAAACCTTTCCCACACTCAGGACATTCAAAGGGTTTCTCTCCTGTGTGAGTCTTCTGGTGTATCAGCAGGCTGGAATTGACACTGAAACCTTTCCCACAATCAGGACATTCAAAGGGTTTCTCTCCTGTGTGAGTCCTCCAGTGTATCACCAGGTAGGAATTCTGACTGAAATGTTTCCCACAATCAGGACATTCAAAGGGTTTCTCACCTGTGTGAGTCCTCTGGTGTATCAGCAGGTGGGAATTCTGATTGAAACTTCTCCCACAATCAGGACATTCAAAGGGTTTCTCTCCTGTGTGAGTCCTCTGGTGTTTCACCAGGTGGGAATTTGCAATGAAACTTTTCCCACAATTTGGACACTTGTATGGCTTCTTCCTGGTGTGAGTCCGCTGATGTATCACAAACTTGCCATGCTTGCAAAAGCATTTACCACATTGGGAGCAGTTGTAGGTCATCTGTCCTATGTGGATCCTTCTATGAATCACAAGGGAGCTATTCTGACAGAAGCTTTTGCTACATTCAGAGGATTTATATGGCTGATCTCCAGTGTGGATCCTCTTGTGATTTGAACTCTGTACTTTTCCCACAATAAGTTTTCTGAAGGAAATTGAATTTTTTTTTTTTATTTCTGCTTCAATTTGCTTTCCTTTTCAATGTTGCTTGTTATTCTCAGTTGTCCAGTGTTGTTATATTGGCATCTTTGTCTGTAAGATTCAAATGAAAGTGTAAGTTTTTTTGTTTATAAAAAGGTTGCAGAAGATGTGAAAAAAAGTAGTACAGGTAATCCTTGAGGTAAAACAGGCCATTCAACAAAAGTTCAAAGTTACTACACCCACACACCCAATGCTAAATACGAATCTGTTTCAAAGTTGAAATTTTGCAGCCCCTCCCCCCAATGGTCCATCCACCAGCTGCAGAGATGCTGCAGCATACCCTCCCACCTATTTCCCAAACATCTTCCCTGGTCAGTCCTCAGAGGCCCCAGACCACAGTACATTGGCCTGCTTTGTCAATATCTTTGCTTCTAGGTATTGCTCCCCAACCCCACTCCCCTTCTTCATTCAGTTACTTAATTTTTGACGAGCTCAAGTAGTCAACTGAGTTACGTGGCAGAATCAAGAAGAAGACTTACGATCTCTTTTGTTTCCATGGCAATCCTTTCGCCCCACCCAGCATAAATTGATAGTGATTTACCTTGCCTGGGGAGGAAAGGATTGCCATGGAAGTAAAAAAGATGAATTTCTTCTTTGCTCAACCAGTGTAAGACTAGCATAAAGCTAGCACTGTTGGCCCTAAGGAGAAATCATGTCTATTTTGCTTCCATTGCAATCCTTTCCAGCCAGCATAAGCTACTACGATTTCTTCTTAGTTCCGCCGGCACTAATTTTATGCTGGCAGCTCTAAAAAGAGATCATAGTGGTTTACCCTGGCTGGGGAGGAGAATATTGCCATGGAAACAAAAGAGATCGGATTTCTTCTTCATTCTATCAGCGCTAGATTTACTCTAGTCTTTTACTGGTAAAGCAAAGAAGAAACTCCATCACTTTTGTTTCCATGCCAGTCCTTTCCCCACCCAGCCAGGGTAAACCACTATGATATCTTCTTAGCGCCAGCAGCATAAAACTAGCACCAGCGGAGCTAAGAAGAAATCATAGTAGTTTAGGCTGGCTGAGGTGAAAGGATTGCCGTGGAAACAAAAGAGATTGGATTTCTTCTTCTTGATTGTGCTATGTGGCCCACCGAGAGAATGGCCTTCTCTACTCTGACTTCCTGAGCTCATCAAAATGTAAGTAAGCAAATGGTGATGGGGTGGAGTATGTAGGAGGCCCACTTGGCTTTGGGGAAACCAAGGGGGAGGAGGCAGAGCATGGGGTATCCTAGACTCAAAGAAAAAGGTTAAGGGAGACGTGATAGCTCCTCTTCCAATACACTGGAGGATCTGTCACAAAGAAGAGAGGATTGACTTATTCTCTAGGGCAGCGGTTCTCAGCCTGGGGGTCGCGACCCCTTTGGGGGTCAAACGGCCATTTCACAGGGGTCGCCAAAGCCCTCTCTTGCCCCCCCCATGCCTTCACTCACCCTCACCCTCTGCCTCTGTTGGATCGTCGGTCGCCGTTCGCTTACCCCGCCCACCCCCAATCTATTGCTGCCTCCCGAGTCCCAGCTGATGGCTAGAGGGAAAAAAACTGTTTAAATTCTTGCCGCGGGGCTTCAAAGGGCCGCCCTACATCTGATCAGTGTTAAAAGAAAACCAATGAGAAGATCGGTGCCTGCAAAAATAGAAAAAACAGCCTCTTTCAGCTTCAGCATAGGTTAATTAGCTTAAGTTGATTAGCTCGGCCTCCCGACTCTCAGCTGATTTGCTCTCAGCTGTTTTGTGCAGGCTCCTTTGCAAGCGCTTGTTTTGCAAACTGCAAAGAGTGCTGGAGCAATTTTTTTTTCCCTAGCTAAAACGAAACTGAAAGGGTCTTTGCTGCAACGTGACAAAATGAGGCAGGGAGAGAGATTTCTTTTTCTTTTTGCTCACCAAAAAAGGTAGGTGCAAACAATGGGAAATTTAGGGCAAAAGAGGAGAGTTCAAGATTTTAAAACATAAAAGAAAAAAAGCTCTATTTAACTAGGGAATTGTAATAATTGAGATACTATTAATTGTATATTGTGTTGAAAGCAGAAATGGTTAAGTTGTGGTTTGGAGGAATATATGGGGGAAATTATTTGGTTTATTATTATTGGTAAATATAATTAATGGATTTGTAAGAAATTGGATTGCATGGAAATAATTGGAATATTCATGTTCATATTGATTAATATTCAAAAAAGATAGTTATATAACTAATTGATTTATATTAAAATGTTGAATTTGTATTAAACAACTGTATTACATAATTACATAATTAACCAATGTGAAGATGGATATAAAAATAGAAGGGGTATAATATAGAATAGAAGGGAAAAATTGAATTTGATTAAGATTAGAGATGAGGATGAAGGGTAATATTGTTTTTTTTAAAAAATAGATGAGGAATAAATATGGCAAAAAGGAAATATAGAAATTGTAAATTTAATTGAAATGACTAAACACTGTGTTGAAAGAAATATCCTTCTGGGTTCTGCTCCAAGTGGGGAAAAAGACACTGGAAACATGGAGACTGCTTGGACAGATGGTTTAATGGTGGACAGGATCACATGGCTTGAGTTCCTGAACAGAAAAGGGGCAGATACAGTAAATCCTCGGGTTTTTATGCTCTCTCTGGCTTTGCATTTCTTGGGGCCCCAAAAGAGTATCCTGATTGGTTGTCAGACTCCCAGGAGGTGGGGGTCTTAGCTAGCCTTACTGGCTGATGGTCACATGTGTTTCCCAGGTCACATGCTTCCCAGGTCACATGTGGTGAGTTTCGGTTGCTAGATGGGGCCCATTGTGTTAGTTTCTGTTCCTATTGTGTTGCAAATGTCCTTTGACAAAGGATTGACTTTCTGCCTCTGGCCCATTAACAAAGGGTGGGGGGCAGGAAGGTGGGAGCTGCTTTGTCTGTAAAATATGCTTCTCCATTTCTCATCCAGGGAAATGTAATATTCTGCCTTTTTAATATTTCCCACAATATTTCATTCTTCTAGGAAAGGGGTGGGTGATAACCTCCTACAACTGTTTAAATTTGTGAACCGGTCAAATACTCTGTTCAAAGAAAATACGTTGTATGTTTGTATGTGTGTTTCTAATTATTGCTATTTATTCACATTTGTTCACTTTTATTCTTTAAAGTTTAACAATTCATTCTTTATCTTAATATCTTTATATTTGTTTGGGGTTGGCTTTCTTCCCTTTCATCTTTTTTATTGTACAGCAATCTTTCTCCTCAAATCTACCACCTCTGTCTTTTCTTTCCTTCTTACTTTCTCTTCCCCCCCTTCTTCTTCTCCCTACTTCCTCTTCTTTTCTCCTTCCCCTCCTCTCTTCCTCCCTCTCTTACCCTCACTCCCACTCTAATTTCCCTTCCCTTCCTTCATCCCTCTCTATTGCTGTATCCTTTTATGCATATGGACTACTCAAGAGGGCTGAAAAAGTTATTTTTGACTGGTCCTCGCACTTTTGACCAGTCCTCGAACTTACGACTGTCCTCACAATTTACGTTTTTGCCCTATCTTGTCACCATGGTGAAGAGAAGCAGTTGTGAAATGAGTGACACCGTTGTTAAGAATGCTACAATGGGCATAAATGATGACCAGGCATAACTGCGAAGACCGGTCAAAAGTGCGAGGACCTGTCAGAAATCACTTTTTTCAGCCCTCTGGGTAATCCTTTTGTGCACAGGGACTACTCAGAGGGCTGAAAAAGTTATTTTTGACTGGTCCTCGCACTTTTGACCAGTCCTCGAATTTACGACTGTCCTCACATTTTACGTTTTTTGCCCTATCTTATCACCATGTTGAAGAGAAGCAGTTGTGAAATGAGTAACATGGTTGTTAAGAATGCTGCACAGGCATAAATGTGAGGATGGTCATAAGTGTGAGGACCAGTCAAAAATCCAAGGACCTGTCAGAAATGACTTTTTTCAGCCCTCTGAGTAGTCCCTATACACATAGCCATGCCCACCCGGTCACATGACCAGTTGGCCACGCCCACCCAGTCCCATGACCTCCAAGCCACACTCACAAAATAAGCCATGCCCACAGAACTGGTAGTAAAAAAATTTAGAGCCCACCCCTGGTTGGGGGTCACCACAATATGAGGAACTGTATTAAAGGGTCCCGGCATTAGGAAGGTTGAGAACCACTGCTCTAGGGCACCAGATGGTAGGACAAGAAGTAATGGGTGGAAGCTTGTCAAAGAGAGATCCACCCTAGAAGTAAGGAGAAGTTTTCTGATGGTGAGAAGAATTAATCAATGGAATATCTTGCCTCTTGGGAGTTGTGGGTGTTCCATCACTGGAGATTTTCAAAAATAGATTGGACAACCATTTGACAGATGGCATAAGGTCTCCTGCCTCAGGCAGGGAGTTAGACCAGAAGACCTTCAAGGTCCCTTCCAGCCCTATGATTCTATATTCTTAGCAATGTAAAGATGTGGAGATTTCAACAGTCAGCATAATTTACACTGATCGAGCATTTTTTGATTTCCTCTTCTGCAAAGCTTACATTTCCCAGGTCCTTTCCAGTCTGCAACTTTTCTTTTTTCCCCTTTCAATTAATAGTTTCAGTAATACAGTTGCATGTAACTTAACCTCTAACCACCTCCCCATATAAGAGTTTTACAGCACCCATTCCCAATGCCAAAACAGAAGTTCAAAAATGTTACCCCCATCTTCAGATTTAAGATTGTGCCCCGCCCCTTTCGAATCTCCGCGGGATCGTGTCCCGATTCATCGAAGGAAGAGACGCCGCTTGCAACTCAATAGCCCCGATGCTCTTTTTGTCCTTTTGTCCCTCCCCCACACGCGTGACGCCTCCACGCCGTCCTTTTATG